AAAATGGAGGGGACACATCTGGGTGGGAGGGGGGAGAGGGAGGAGGGAGGGAGGCTTTGGTGATGGGACACAATAACTAACTACATTGTATATTGACAAAATAAAAAAAATAAAATAAAATAAAAAAATAAAAATAAAAAATTAAAAAAATAAAAATAAAAAACCTCAGGAATTGTGATTCTGGTATTTTGAGTCTCAGATCAAGTCCTAAATTTTTAATCCACTTTAAAAAATTGTTTTTGCAACACAGAAAATATATATTTTCTGCCTAATAATTAAAATGAAATAGAATGATTTCCAAATTATCCTGAGTGGTATGCTTTAATTTCCTGTATTACAAAAATAAAACAACACTACTAGATTTTCCTAATAAAGTTTCCAAGAGATGTTACTTACGAGAGTGCTCTTCTGAGCTTCTGCCAACTTCGTAGCGATGAAGTACTGAATTGGCGCAAGGAGCACAATGACAGCTGCACCAACCAATGCACTTGATCCAAGTAAATTATAGAGCAGAATCACTCCCATTATGATCTAGGAAGAAAAACACATGGAAAGGGAAATCGAATGGGGGTGTGAGAGCCACTGCATGAAAGGAAATAGTTTTTAGTAAAAATGTGCTATTTCTTAATTATTAAATTAAGTTTATTTTAAAGTCAACTCAACCATGACAGCTGGGTTTTAGTATGATTTATTTGGGGAAGGCTAGTAATAGGGCTTTATTTTTAGTATGATGACCAGTGCAACTGGTGCCAAACCAATTTATTGCATGAAGTTGCAGTGTGGTCCCATGATTCGTCCAACTTTCTAAGGTAGTCTTCAAATTTTTAAAAGGACATAAAACTTTTCTGAAAAATGCTGTCACCCACCATAAATTTGACAGTCTATATTCTTTTGGAATTCCACTAGCTTTTCGAGGCTGGGAGGATGGAAGGCAGGGGCAACATTATAATGTGAGCACAGGTTGGTTACGTGTGGACTAAAGGAATGATGCTCCTCACCTTAACGACCCCAGAAGTCACTTCATGACAAGAAGCCTAAGCCTAACTAAAACCGTCAAGAAGCTAAAGCCGGTCCTCCATATCACCTCACTTCCCCTTTTAAAATTTATTTCCCAAAACTCAAGGCTGAACGGTTTAGGGCTTCCCTTTCTGGTTTGCCACTTTCTTCTCCTTCCTTTAAATACTCAGGATTTGACTCTGCTACATCTCTTCCTGAAAATTTTTTTCCAGGAGCTCAAATTATCATGACTCAAATGTCAACTAATGAACTGTACCTATATAGTTCAAGCATATAATGTATGCCAAGATGCCAATGACAACAGTTTAATAGTAGCTTTCCAGGCACAAGGACACATGTTTACTACCCAACCAATTAGGCAGTTTAGGCATTCCAAAACAGAAATTTCCTCAAGGTCACCTGGGATGCAGTCATTCAGTGGCAGCCTGGGATTCTCAGTGCACTGTAAGTATACCACATAGGCAGCTACCTAATTCACCTGTGTTTAAGTACATTTTGACAAAGTAAGACAAAACATATCTTAAATCTTACTTTGAGCCAAGCACTATGGATAATACGTACTTTCATTTGACATGGATTTCCATTAAAAAATGAAAAGGCAAACAATAAATTAAAAATCTAGCATATCTTTACTATTTTATGCACTTCAATAACTATGGCGCATAGGGACATAGGTGATAGACTGCATCGAATGAGATCTACAGTTTAAACTCCATCTACAGGACACATAACTTGAGATAATTAAAAATATCCAGTACCACAGTGAGAAAAAAACAGAATACATTTCTTTTGCCATCTTACCCAATGGGGAAATAAAACACGTGTCTTTATTAAAATGCTATTTTATGTAGGAAATAACTAAATAGCCCTTCAGCTTGTCAGTGTTCCTACCACCTTATAAAGTTAAACATTTTGTAATATACTAGCTATTGAAACTGTGGGATGGATTAAAACAATTGCTCTAATTTAAAAATGCTAGAAGAGAGTTTACCAAAATGAAAACGTTTAAACCTTGGCTCTGTGACTTGCATGAATTTGGGCAATACTACCTAACAATTACTGAGTGCTCATGAAATGTTCTTACTCAATTTTGATGATTCCCACAACTCTATGAGGCAGATACTATCATTATTCCTATTTTACAGTGAAAGAAACTGATCTTTGAGGGGTTAAGCACTTGTGTAAAAGAGGGTTAGAGCAGATATTTGCACCCAAGCAGCATAATTCCAAACCCCACTTTCTTAACCTATGCAGAACATTTCCAAATCTCAGCTTCCTTGTCTATAAAAAGGGTACAACTACATTAGCACATTCAAAAAATATAAACTTTACTGAACTCCCTTTGCTTTATTTCCTCTGCAAACAAGAATCTTATATGTATTCATCTACCTGAACAGGCATAGCCCATAGATTGGGACACAGGAACAAGAACCACATGAGTTGATTGGTTTCAATGGCAACCAAGTTGTTGATCTGTCCCAGGGTCATCTCACCCATGGATAAGTTAGACGTAGACAGCCTAAGAATTTTATTGTATATCATGGCCTGCAAGGGAAAAAAAAAAAAATGTACTTAAAGCTCTAAACCTAAAATCAGCACTATGATTACTTATTTTCATTGAAAAAAAATAACGAACATTTTAAAACTTTTTGGAAAAAAGGTAAAAAAAAAAAACCCTATAAGGCCATCTTCTTAAATCAACTACTATTTCCATTTTAGCATAGTTACTTTCAGTCCTCAATGAAATACAAACTTATTTTTTTCTAGCGATGTAATCAAAATATATATTCAACTTAAATATAAGCTCTGGAACAATTGGAAATAGAGATAAGTGGATGAAAGATTTTAAAATATTTTTCTTAATATATTATTTTTAAGTTATTTTTAATCTAATGGGTTTATGAATTAGATCTACTGTGTTTCACTAAGTATATCCTAGAAATGGTGTTGATGTAATATTAAAGTGAAAATGAAATGAAAACGCAAAACTGAAGCTACTACTATTCCTATCCCTGGATGGTATGTGGTGTTTTCAAGAAACAAAGATCATTCAAAGCCTGTACATACCAGCAGAGCTCCGCGGAGGTTAATGCCAGTCTCTATGGTTACATAGTAGGAAGCCTGCAAAAAAGTTCTTTGCAGAATAAGAGCCAAGAAGAGAAGAACTGCTAGAACATAAGCATTTTCAAGAAATTCCTTTGATGAGAGGGTTTCTGAAATCTTGTCCCAAAAGAAAGAAAGAGACAAATTAAAACTAGTCTTTTCATATATCAGGTGTGGTTTGCGTTTCTTAAAGAGTACATGATTTTTAAATATAAAACTCGACATCTTTGCAATACAATAGTGGAATGACCTATAAGCAAAACAATTTTGGCTTTTCCCCATAATGTCCGCAGGTACAAATATAAAACCAGTTAAATGCCTAAAATCATAAATTGATTATTAACATTGCTGAAAATGCCCAATTGTAGAAAAAAAGTAAATTTTAATTTTAAAAAAATTATGCATTTCCTGAAAAGATATATTCTACCTTAATTAAATGGGAAGTAGTAAAAAAAAAAAACCCACAAAACTGATAGCTGGCCAGCAAGACCAAAGACCAATGGAACAAAAATACAATTTCTGAAGCCTTATTAGTTTGAAATAATTCTACATAGTTGACTTTTCTGATTTTCATATATCTTAATTTATATTGATGGAATAAATTACAAATTATAAAATAGGTAATTTGGCTACTGACTGTACCCACGTGACACTCTGCAACTTCTAAGATATGAGGTTACTTCAAAAAGTTCATGGAAAAATGGAATTAAAAGAGAATACAAAACTTTCCATGAACTTTTTGAAGATCCTTTGTACTGTTTTAGTAGGGATAGTGACTGAATTAGTCATAAGAATATATAAATTTATTGATTTTTGTTTATAACATTAGCATATGGTAACTTATTGTTTGTTAGAAGAGAGAAAAAGATAACACTTAACTATTATGTCAAGTTGGACATTTGTTGTTTTTTCTTATAATTTAGACCTAGTAAAATTCTCCTTCTTTCATGGGGATATATATGAATATGCAAGTCCTGTTCCTTTTTAGAAAAGCACATGAATAATATGTGTAAGGGAGGAGAATAATAGAAGCACACTAGGTAGAATTTAGCTATTTGTATGTAATCAAATTAGTAGAAACAAAACATCCCCAAAGTGTATCCAATGGTGAGAACATCTGGTTCACCTCAATAATAATTGAACACTAAAGTGTGCAAGGATCTGAGCTAAGCATTGTGGGCACAAGTATAAACAGTTCACACTCACATTGTTTTAATGAGCTTACAACCTGGAAAGATAAGCATATCCATAAATAATATGCATAACATCAAGCAAAGAGTGCATTAAGGGAGAACTGAGGAGAGAGAAATTCCAAGTAGGAAGATCAGAAAAAGCTTCCCTGAAAAGGCAAGATTTAATGTGGGCTGTGATAAAATGTTAATAGATAAAAAAAGAAGACGGGAAGTGAGATTGAAAGAATAGAAAAGGAAAACTGATCCATCTGGACTAGAGTTTCCATCTCTGAAACTAGGGAAATCAGTTCCTATCTTAGAAAGAAACTAGCAAGTTAAAGATGCAGACTTTCTTAAGAACAGAAAATAAAAGACTACATATTTATATCAATAAGTATATAGCATTTTATACTAAAGGGCTCAAAATAATAACATAATATCTAATATCATAAGGTAACTTGCCCTGATCATTGTGAAACAGGGTAATGGTTTTTATTATACAAGAAAAGAGAAATGTACAATATTACAGATCACATTGCTAATATTATTAATCACAGGCCTCTAAAAAGTGACTCAGCTACACCTCATGCAGTCCTGCATGACAATTCTTTAAAGGATTGCTATAAAGATCAAATAAAAGAATCGTTGTGAAATTTCTGTGCACAGTTTCTGGCACACAGTAGATGCTTATTAAATGTTCATAGGCTCAAATCTGAGGAATAATTTTGTTGGCCACATTCATTCAATGAATACATAAACACGTGATTTTCTCTACAAGGAAAATCATTATTTTCTTTCTTTTAAAAAGCATTCAACTCTCTGTAAATAAGCCTGTTTGAACTACTCATAAAATGCATTAATAAAAAGTGACAATTACAGTGAAATCTGCCAATAATGTGTTTCCTTTCAAAAGCACCCTGAACTTACTCCTGTTGCATTATTTGTCCCATTCTGGGTTTCATTCACACGCTGAACTATTCCAGAAATACAGAGAGGTCCAGCAAAACCCAGTAAGTCAGCCAGATAACGGAACGTGCTGCTAAGTAGAATTGGTCGCCCAAAAGCTCTGTACATTGCAAGCCATATAGATGGAGTCCGATTTGGATGATCTGCTACTTTTTTCTGAAAGAAAAACCAGATGGAGCAGCAATTAATCTCAAGAAATTCCTACTGATAGTTCTGAAGATATTTTAAGGACCTAAAAATAGATGTTAATAAGTCCCTTTCTGTACACTGTGCATAATTCTGTATCCTTGCATACTATGCAAACAGTAGCTACTGAATGCATTTTAATGAAATAGAGAGAATGTAAACAGGACAGTTTTTCTAAGACTCCATTATTATTTTTAGTTGTCAAAAGAGGACACAAAATTCTTAAGGCCTAATTCATTTTAATTCCTTTTGATTTGGAAAATGTATATATGTCATGAAAAT